GTTAAGGGTTTGCGTAAATTATATGATGAAATAGAAGTTAATATAAGAAATTTGCATTTATTAAATGTAACGGAGGGTTCATATGGGCATTTATTGAATCCAATATTATTGAAGTTGCTACCACAAGATTTGGTGTTAGATTTTCATTGAAAACGAAACAGGGAAATGAATTAGGAGGTTTCGGAAATTATTACGTTTTTGAGGAATGAAGTCGAATCTAGGGAAATTGCCGAAACTGTGATGAGCCCCCTAAAAAGTTACGAAACGAAACGATCCTTTTCCCAAAATTATCAAAGTGGTCAAACTTATCAGAAAAACTATTCAAAGCCTAAAAAACTATCAACTGCTTCGTTAAATACACAAATAAAAAATGTTTGTTTATTCTGCGACGGTCGTCACGATTCCATAAGTTGTATGGTATCGTTTCATTGACGTTGTGTAATAGGAATCAAAGTTCGAAATTGTACGAGTTAGAGGCTGTCATAACGGAATATATATCTAATTTGTCTTTGAAAATCCCAGATGTATCTATTCGCAATGCATTGAAGGAAAGAGGTTTACCTTTGGCTGATTCATATTTCTGGGCGACCTGTCAGATGGAAATACTTATCGGGTGCGATTCATTTTGGGATGTTGTTTATGACGAGAGAGTAAAGTTAAATAAAAACATTACTGCGATAAATTCTTCTTTCGGTTGGTTATTAGCGGGAGTGGAAGGAAGTAATAAATTGACTAATAATTATGACAATGTACGTTTAGTCATGGACTCTTCTTCCATTTTGTGCGATTTGAAAAAAATTTTGGGAAATAGAAGAATTTCAGTAAGACAAACAAAACTTTTCTGAATGGGACAATCAATTGATTGAAAAATTTGAAAATTCTCTGGAATTTAATGGGGAGAGATACGTTTGTAGATTGATGTGGAAGGAAAACTTGGAACCTGCAGTTGGGTTGAATTCTAATTATGAGGTTGCTAAAAAGTGTTTTGATTCGTTAAAGCACAAACTAAATAAAAATCAAGAAATTCATGACCAGTATAAACAGATTATATCGGATCAGTTAGAATGTCAGATTGTGGGAAAATGTGTTAATGAGGATAAAAATTCAGGATATTATATGCCCCACAGAGCGGTAATTAGGGATGACAAGGAAACAACTCGAGTTAGAATTGTTTATGACTGTAGCAGTAAGGCTAATGAAAATAATAAATCTCTTCATGAGTCTCTAGAATCGGGAGTAAATCTTTATGCAAATTTATTGGACATAATTCTTAAATTTCGAGAATATCAACTTGCAATTTGCGGAGATTTAGAGAAAGCTTTTCTTATGATAGAGATTGCGGAGGAAGATAGAAAATACCTTAAATTTTTGTGGTTTCCCGAAGAGGTAGGCGATTAAACCGAAACTCTCCTTTTAAATTGTCTCCATTTCGTTTTAACTACTTCGCCATTTTCCTTGGCTTGCGTTTTGAGATTTCACATTAAGAAATTTAAGGAACATCATCCAAAATGTTACAACATGTTAAATTCTTTTCTTTATGTTGATGATCTCTGCTATGGAGCCAATACCGTTCAAGATGCTTATCATTTGACTTCTACGGCAATAGAGATATATTAAAAGCAGCAGGATTTCATTTGAGGAAATTAAAAATTAATTGTCCGGAAATTGTATAAACTTTGGAATGAAAACGGATATGAGGAAAATACTGACTTCGGGCAAGGAACAGCTTTCTTGGGATTGAAGTGGGATCTGATTGAGGATAAAATTAAATTAGATTTAAGAGATGTTAGGGATTCCATTGATGCTAGAATCACTAAGCGTCACGTTTTGAGAGTTATTTCAAAGATATTTGATCCATGTGGACTGATTAGTCCCTTTGTAATCACTGTGAAAATTCTTCTGCAAGGGATGTGGGAATGCGGTCTACAATAGGATGAAGATTTGCCAAGTGACCTACAAAATAAATGGAGAACCTGGTGTTCTGAACTTTGTGAACTTGAACCAGTATCTATTGAAAGAAGGTTTTTTGAGAGTGTAGAAATAAGTGAAGTTTCTCTTCATGTGTTTTGTGACGCCAGTCCCAAGGCATATGGGGCTGTTGCATTCCTAAGGTACGTGAATTGCAATGGCTAAATCAAAGTGAGCTTTATAATGTCATAAAGTAACGGTTGCTCCTTTAAAAACGTTGACCTCTTGCAAAGATTAGAGTTAATGGCAGCACTCCTCCGCTGCAATGTTTAGGAAATTATTTACAAGGTCTATTTCCTGACTTCGCGAAACAAATTTTCTTCTGGAGCGACTCTCAAATCATCCTTCATTGGTTGAAAAGATCTTCTAAACAATGGAAACCATTTATCGCCAAGCAGAGTAGCTCAAGTGCAGTCGCTGACTCTACCAGAGTGTTGGAACCGATTGCAGTGGCTTCGACAATCCCGCAGACCTTACTACTAGAGGAGAATCGGTTAGGAGGATCTTTACAAGTTCTGTATGGTGGTCAGGCCCTGTTTGGTTGTCTAAACCGCTTCACTCGTGGCCTCTTTCAAAGAATCGCTACATCATTTTAATGACATTTGTCATGAACGCGTTATAGTGAAAGAGCGACGGAACTCACTGGTTAATTCCATGGTAACCAGTTTAGCTGATAGAAAATTACCTATGTCGTCGTTACTAGACTTTAGTGAGTTCAGCGAACTAAGTAGATTACTGCGTGTTACTGCTTGGCTTAAAAGGTTTGTGCACAATTCTAAACCTAATTCTACAAAAGTAAATGTACCTATATGTGCTCTAGAGCTCGAGCAAGCTTTGCGTTTTTGGATCAAGGCTACTCAATTCAAACAATATAGTACAGAAGGTTACCCAACTTCTTTCTAAAGGAACTATCGATAAGAGTTCACGCATATTTAATTTGAATCCTGAACTTGATGATAATAACTTACTTTGTTTAAAGGGACGTTTACAGTTTTCAAGCAATGATATGCGAGCCAAACATCCTTGGCTTCTTCCATCTAATGATAAATTTGTTGAGCTACTTATCTGTGATTCTCATACTAAAATGTGCCATTTAGGTGTTGACGCAACTTTAACACATTTACGAGAACAATTCTGGATTGTTAAAGGTCGTCATTTTGTGAAAAAAGTGTTAAATAACTGTCTGATTTGTAGACGATTCAAAGTTAAATCTGGAATGCAAGTGGTTGCCCTTTTACTGCCTGATAGAATTCAAGAGCATCCACCATTTGATATATGTGGTGTGGATTTTGCCGGACCATTTTTTGTTCGTGATTTTAATTCAAAGTGTTATTTACTTATATTCAGCTGTGCAGTGACAAGAGGTAGCCACTTAGAAGTAGTTATTAACATAAGTGCTGATTCTTTTTTGTTAGGATTCCAACGATTTGTTTCTCATCGAGGATTATGTTCCACTATATATTCTGATAATGCCAAAGCTTTAAAAAAAAAAGCAAATTGTGAATTGAAAAAATGGTGGAATCAGATAGATAATGATCAAGTTAAAAATTTGTTTGCTTCTAAAGGTATAGTTCGGAATTTTATAGTTGAAAAAAGTCCATGGTGGGGAGGTTTCTGGGAGAGACAGATACGAATGGTTAAAACCTGCTTAAAGAAAATTGTTGGATGATCCTCTCTCTCTTTGAAGGAATTATAAACTGTTTTTTCAGAAATTGAAGCTCTGGTTAATTCCAGGCCTATCACGTATCTGTACAACGAACCCTCAGAACCCTCTCCACTCACCCCATCTCATTTTCTTATTGGTAAAAGGTTGGTGTCTTTACCTGTAATAAAACATAAAAATTAAAATTTTAATGTTAATAGGAATTCTTTGGTAAAGAAATATAAATATCAGCAAACACTTTTGAATCACTTCTGGAACAGGTGGAGAAAGGAATATTTACTTAATCTAAGATCAGCTTATATTTCTCCACAAACAGGTAAAATGGTTTCATTTAAAGTGAATGATGTTGTTTTGATTAATGATGAGCGTTATCCCAGAAATATGTGGATGATGGGGAAAATGTTTAGAGCTATATCCAGGAAGGAGATGGAAAAGTTCGTTCTCTTCTTATTCAGAGACTCCTGAAGGACAAATAAAACGCTCAGTACAACTTGTGTATAGTTTGGAATTAATTGTGTTAGTTTAATTGAGTTGCAACCTGTTAATGTTCTGTCTGTGCATTAATAATAGTTTAATTGTGCTTATATTTTAAGGCTTGATATTTGAACAATTTTCCTTGGAAGTTAAAAGTTTGATTTGTTTTTGTATGACAAGTGCAGAATAATTTTGAAGCTTTGTATTTGATATAATATGCTATTTATATTTTTATTCTTGTAATTTTAAATGGTTCCTGAATGTAAATTTAGTTAAAATTCAATGGTAAGTGAACTCAAGTGAGTTCAGGTGGGGAGTATTACATATTTCCAGCGTCATTCTGACTAGAGGGCGCTGTGTTCGTCCCAATAGTCAGTAGCAGGCAGGATACTAAAGGTGTAGGACATGGAAGGCAGAGATGCCTAATAATATATCTCTAATTGATTGAAATTTTCATGTATTTTCTTGTAAATAAATGTTATTGTTCACAAAACCTCTTATTATCTCTTGGATGCACCTTTAGTCTCACAGAATCATTAGATGCAAAACATGATGCACACTGATACTATGACAGATAACCATAGTATCAGAAATAATTAAGTTCTTCAACAATTAAATGGAAAAGAAATATGCCGTTTTAAAATTACGCATGCAAAGTAACCTTAATTTTTCATGTACACTATCTACCAATAAGTACTTGGACACCTGTGGTAGAACAGAAAAACAAAATTTATCCATATTCAGTATTTGGCAGCACCTCCACGAGTGGGAATTACAACCTTGACCTCCAAGGCATGCTTTTCACAAGTCCTTGTATGACAGCTATTCGTATTTTCTTTCACTCGGTTTAGAGATGTGCAAGTTCCTTCACCAATGTTGGACGGTCGTAGCATACCTTAAATCGGCAATCCAACTTGCCCCAGGGGTTCCCAACAGGGTTCAGGGCTGGGGTCTGGGCAGGACAGTCTATTTGGTTAACCTTATTATCACCACACCAATCCATGGTGAACATCACAACATGCCAGCTGGCTTTGTCTTTCTGAAAGTAACATGGATCTAACCCATAAAACTGTCACAATGTAGAAGGTACACTGTCATCTAAAATAGTGCAGTGGACATTAGCACTGAGCTTACCATGAATATGGACCAAGGGTCCCAGTAGAAGAAACACCCCCAGACCATAATTCCACCTCCACCAAACTTTATTGTGGGTGCAATGCATTCTGACAGGAGGCATTCTCCAGGCAGACACCAGACACAGACCCTCTCATCCAAATGGTAGAGGGTGAATCTTTATTCATTGCTTCAGAGAATCCCATTCCCACTTATTTATGATCCACTGTCTACATGCTTTACACCACATTAACCAAGCAGGGCAGTTGGACTTTGTGATCAAAGGCTTATGGCAACAGCATGAACATGTAAACAAAGCAGATGTGCTCCCTTACAGATGGTATTCATTGAAACAACACTCCCAGATGCTTGCTGAAACTCCTGGAGTATACAGGCCATTGGCTGGCTGCGATTCTTCTGAATTTCTATAGACAGTACCCGTTGGTCTCTATTTTGAAGTTTGTAGGTCTGACTCAGGCCACATTCTGACAATCACTGCTCACCTTCCACTACTGAATCACATAGCACTGTTGATTTTGGATAATTCAGCTTGCTACGCATGTCCCTCAAGGATCAGCCATTTCTGCAATAGCTGACGATTACACCTTTCTAAAAATCAGATAACACTGCACTTTGTGGCATTTTGCATGTGACCAATGCTAATGTTATTTACTGAAAGATATTTAATGGTGAAGGGTGTGACATATATCAAAAACCGCAGATACTGGCATTTGCATGGGTGTCTAAATACTTATTGGTAGATATGTCTGACTGCTCCAGAAATCGATAGAATCGAATTTTTCTCAAAATCTACATCAGTTTATAAGTTTGCTTTTTTCTGCTTAATTTCAAATTTAATTGTTGTTAATTTCATAGCCTTGTTAGATGTTTCTAAAATTTCAGTTTTAGCTTTGAATTTAAGTGCCTTTTCAACATTTTAGCAGAAAGTTAGGTTTAAAAGGGACAGCAGAGGACAAATAGGAATTGAGTTTAAATGTCTTTATCATTGATACACAAATGAAAGATCTTCTGCCAAGAAGCCTGACTGATTAGCAGATTACAATGTGTATTCTATCCCTCCAAACAACTGTCCTCCCATCTCACAACAAGAATGTAACTCCTACCCCAGTCTTAGCTACCTTTCATGACTTTTCTCCCCTTATACCTCCAAGCTTATTTTCAAATGTTACAGAGAATAAGAAATTACTTCTGGAGAAACAGAGCTATGAAAAGAAAAGTTAAAGAATGAGATAGGAGAAAAATAAAATATAACCAAAATTATGCATCATTCAAAAACTATTGTAACATTAACATAAATAGGTTCTGTGCTGCAGGTACTTAGATGAGACTTAGATGATATAGTGCAAATGAGAAACAAAAACTATTCACAGTATTATAAAAAAAATATAGCTGATTTCTACCAGCTATAGAATTCGTACTCTTTCTGTATCATTTCCGTAAAGATTTTTAGATTTTCAAAAGGATAATTCCAGAGTAATTTTTTTAGTGCTCCCTGTACAAGCAAATCTTTTATGACCCAAAGTATACTGGTTCTAAGAAGCTCTGAAAAGAGTGCATCACCCTGCATTTAAATCAACTTTTATACTTGATTTAAAGAAAGATGACACAGATTGATCATATATTTACAATGATAAAAAGGAAAACGCTTTTCAGTTTCACTTCTGCAGAGATTTTTTTTTTAAACAGTTTGTCAAGAAATGATAACACATTAATAAAGAGTAAATTAGAGGGTTTACTAATCACTTAAGAGGGTAAAGAACATAACTTATTTTTGTATAGATTTCTGTGCAGATTTTATTCATTCACAGGCAAAAAATGCCAGATGAATTGTTCTGTCTAGATTTGAATGACATTGTGTTTTGGTGATACTGTTAATAAGAACAGAGGAACCTTGGATTACGAATGCTTCTCATCATGAAAAAATTATCACGACAAGAAACCTCTAAGGTAACAAATGATATTGAGTTCGTAACACTGAAGTAGGCGACAAATGACTTTCAAAGGTATTTTGAATAACCTGCGACACAGAATCTTCTAGAAGCTTTTAATGGTTTCCATTGCTTAATTCTCATTAATAAAGCCTAGGTCTATTAATTTGGCCTAAAAAATATTTATTGCTAGACTGTATTGCAGGCACAGACTTTCACGGCTTTGACACAGAAGATTCTTTTGTTATCTATGATATTACGAGGGCTATCCAGAAAGTAGATTACGTTTTGGAATAAAAAAATAAACAAAGTATAGGAAACAAATTTTATTATATACAGATGAAAGCCACACTCAAATACTAATTTTCTACATAGTCACCATACAAATTAAGGCATTTATCGTAGCGATGTACGAGCTTGGAAATTCCTTCGTCGAAAAATTCGGCCGCCTGAGCCTTCAACCACTTCGTTACCTCTTCTTGCCTTCCATCTTGCACAAAACTTGTGGTAACCAAGCTTTTCGCTGATGATTTCGTGCAACAAACTTCGCGAAATTTGTGGAAAACTCAAAGAAAGTTCCGTTATTGTGAAATTTCGATTTTCACGGACTTAGCATCGACTTTTCGAGAAGTTCGGCGGTCACTATGCTGGGTCTCCCACTTCGATCTTCGTCCTGAACATTGGTTCGGCCATTTTGAAATCTTATGACCCACTGACGCACTCCACCTTCAGTGATAATGTTGTCCCCATATTCACGAAGCTGCCGATAGATTTCTATCGGTTTTACAGTTTTTTTGCAGTCAGAACCTTATTACTGAGCGCACCTCGCAGCTCGCGGGATTTCAATTAACGCAGACATTTCAAACCGTCACAGTATCTGAACGGAGCACAGCACGAACTTCTCACTAGCACGGCTAGATGCAGACTGAGCTGCGCAACGCTCTGACCCCAAGATGGCCGCGCTAGCCCCGCCCCTAGCGGACACAGACGGAAACGTAATCTACTTCCTGGATGGCCCTCGTACATCTTTAGGCAAAATCAAGGATCAGGATGCTAACAATGAACATTTGAAGGTGTTATTAGAAGCCTCAGCTCAATAAGAAATAACTGAAACAAATTCAGAAGTAAAATAAGATGACTGTGTTGGAATTATACTTGGAGAAAAAGAAAGGAAGAGAAGATAAATCTAGTTCGCTGATCTGCTAAATGGGATAATGTGTAAAATTTCACGTCAGGATATCACCCTCATAAAGCAGTAGCAAGCTACAACATACGCATTTTCAATGACAATGCCATGTCTCATTTAAAACATTGACAACATTACAGAAATTTTGAGTTAAATGGAGACTCAGTGAATCTCAGGCGAATTCAAGTGGTGCTAAGATACAAAGAAAAGATAAAAAGATAGCCTAAAGAGGCAGTCAACTGATGTTTTTATGGAAGGGAACTCCAGCAGCCAAACAAACAAACCTCCTCTTTTCCTCCTTGCTTTCTGCTTATGCTATCTAGATATAATAAAAGTTTAATATTTAAGCATTGTATTCGTTTAATACTGTGTTTATATTTTTTTCTTAGATTTAATAGCTTCCATTGGTTTTGGATTATGTCCTTGAGCACAAGATATAGCTTCCAATTTTAAATAAGCAATTATCTGTGATCCAGAAACTGATTAATCCCTTTTATTAAATCTCACATGGATAACGGTTTTGGTTTATGAATATGATGATGAAGAGTTTTCAGCAGTGAATTAATTTCATGAAGTTTCTCTATATATAATTAAGCATTTATATACCTACAGTATATGTTTCAGTATTTAATTTATATATATTCAAAATAAAGTAATTAAAAAGCCTATGATTTGTGCTAAAGCTGCAAAGTAATAAACCAATAATACATAATAATTTATAATAAGAAAACTTTCTATATACCATCTCCAAGGATATCTCGTTCAGAATGTGTTCTTAATGAGAATCTTTAATTTTAAGATTATCTGCTATTTTAACAGGATGCTTTTAGCTTTAGTGGACTAATGTCTTTATTTGTATTGAGTATTAATTGCGACTTATGGTTTGCTCCAGCAAATAATTTGATGCTTACTTGGAAGTAAAGATGAAACACTCTCTATTAATTCAGTTGTTATTAATTGATGGTAGATTGGTTTATCCCCTTGATAAATCAATTAATCTGTGATCAATGACCATAGCTACTTTTTCAATGTTTTTAATAATTACTTTTGGTATTTTTGCGATTGAAAATTTTTCTTAGCAGATTTTTACGTTTTTAAACAAGGAGATTAAAATACCGTAATTTTCGGAAGAAACGCTGCGGCGTTTACGTGTTTAAAACTTAAATTTTCAGCAG